TTTGGTAGCACCGAAAGGGGCTTTATTGTTCAACCAACCGAGTAGGAAGAGCTCAAACGCAACGTCTCCCGGAGCCTAGACATCTTCGGGTCCTTTACGCGGAAGCATTCAACCCTCTTTGTGAGATACTGTGTGACCAGAGTGATCAGGTTCAACCTCACAGTTGCTGATCAGAACTTTCTTGAATGACATTTTGGGAATCATAAATAGTACAGTCGCCCAGCCATGTAGTTTAGATGCCTACTGATGTACCTTGATACCTGTTACTACGACGGTATTTGTGCATAGTTTGGGTGGCGACTTGTGTTCCACAGTGTCTGCAGATCAAGAGCGTATACTAGTGGAAAATGAAGGTTGGCAATCAAAACAATGTCGGTCATTCCAGAGTAGTAATCCAAAGGGTATGCGCAGAGTTATCCCAAACGCCTGTCCAACAAACACCCGTACTCCCAAATCTATCCCACGCTGGTCCATGGGACAGAAATATATAATGCGCAGTGTCCCACCAAGCGCATGCTCAAGACATCAGCTCGTCAATATACGCCCTCTGTCTAGTATCCTCGTCTGGTTTCAACAGCACTGCCAACACCTCAAGGGGAGGATTGAGGCCTAGCGTATGCGCACGTCTCCATCGCTTGAGTCGAGCAATTCCAATGCAAGGCTAGAGTGATAGAGCGTTAGTTCAAGCGAACATGTGGTGTACGAATAAAGACAGACTTGCCCCGTATTGACTTGAAAGGTCGAAGTTGCGTAGTATCTTCTCTCGTAGATCGAGGCCCTCCTGGTGAACTGGTGGACATGATCAGCGTACTTGTCACAGGAGTTGCCTGACTGGGATGTGTGTGACTCACCTCTAGGCCCTTGTCTCTTTGCCTCTTCCTTCTTCCAGTACTGTTGCAGTTGCCTTTCGGTGATCTTCTCCGCCTTAGCATCCTCTTCTGACCGTGGTTGCTCAATCTCCGCCCGAGCCTGCTGCCTCACGGCAAGCTCTGCCACATGGGGCTGCGAAGGCTCCGTGGAAGTAACAGAAACCTGTTCTGCTTCGGATACATCGTCTACTGATGGAGTATTTGATCGAGAAGCGTCAATCAAGTCGAGATCCTTGGCTTTCTGAGAGCGTGTGGTAGGCGCTGCTGAAGGCTTCGTGACTCTGGACTTGGAGCCGAACGAAAGGGTCGCCTGGTTAGAACGAGTGGCGGCAGTATTACCTCCGCGGCGACGAGTGGGAGGCATTTTGCAATTATAACTAGAATAGCTTCTTTTTTCTATGAGAAGGTATGTAGACAATATGCAGCAGTCTGATGAACCGAGTCCAGGCTGAAGGAAAATCCAGGACGACTACGTTCTGGGCCAGGGCTTGGTTGAGAGTGTGGGGGAGACGATGTCATCATTGGTTTGTTGCACATGGCAACCGCCGCTACCGGATTTACTTCCACCAACCCCAATCCAGTTTCTATGGCCACTGGAATCGCAGCAGAAGCTGTTCTTGCTTGTTAGCTTGGATGGTATGCTTGTGTATAAAATAACGTTCTTCATGGATTTCACTAGCTATATCAATTTATAGTCAGTCAGTCAGCCAGTCTACATGTCTCACGTACTCAACCCGCCGGCTTACTGTACTATTGGCGTGATAACGAAGAATATTGCGGGGTAACTAGATAAGTACTAGTAGTGGTACCTGAAATCGGTGGACGAAGCAGCCTCCCGGTCTGCAGCTGACCAAGGGCCCTTTTTCAAATTGTAAGATAGTAGTATCCACTTTCGTGGTTCGATGGGGATATCCTGTAGAAGATCACATTTAAGGTGAAACTGCGCATGCCACTAGGACGTTGCAGAAATCTGCACGTTTATTTACCATGCTAGTGCATCGATAGGTTGATTTTACCTGCTTTGTCTTGACTACCGGTTATATCGACTAACGTTCTTTGGTCACTACTGTTCAGTATGGGGTGGTTGTGATTGATAATCCTTGATTGGGAAGTAAGTCTACCTGCTTATCGCTAGTATGGGTCAGTCACATGGCATCATCGATAAGAAACAAGACCTGCAGGGCGGGAACCAACGAGCCAACGATTGACCGCTTTTTGCAGGGGAGCTTCAAGTGGAATCCATCCAAGCATGGATCAGCGCCATGGAAAGATCCAGCTCTATCTGTCTTTTAGACAGAATGCATGAATTGAACTTAGTCAACCGAGTTCACCGTAAGCAGATTGGTAAAAGTCCATACACAGTAAGGAACATGCTCAGGAGCGGTCAGCTAGGAATGCATCCAGGATACGTTTGCTGTATAACCAAGTACTCCGCACAGGAGGATGATTAATAGACCAGGCGGCAACCGAAGCTGTTAGTTAGTACTTAATATGCAATCAATTTGCCGCCCAGAATTGCTTCGTCATTTCACGCTGCATAATCATCAACCAAGGCCCCCGTTTATTGCAAATGACGATCAATAGTTCAATGTTCTGCCTGGTGGAGAGCTGAGCTCAATAATTTAGTTAGCACCCAAGAGAAGTTGAAAGGTGTCATTAGTTGTCTTCCGAGGACTGAGTGCCCTGCTCGTATTGATAATATGCGGATGGTCTGACAGGGGATCAGTTAGGTGGTTTTAGTAGTTCCTCGTTATACTCCGTCCTGAGCACAGAATCGCGGCTGGCTGGCCTGACAAGGGTCGGGAAAGAGGTCAAGTTCAAGTAGTTCCGTGGCTGCCGCTGGGAACTTAACCTGCTTAGCCGCCGCAGATGTTCCCCATCACCTTCTCCCCTCCCCACATCAGCGCTTGTAAACAACCCTCGATTGCTTCACCAACGTCGCACCGGCTTTCTCTCGCTTTCCAGCATCCTTCGACACTTACCCCATTTTCCCTCCCTTTGCCGCTTTCGAATTCCTGTCTGACGCCGCCCACACTCGAAGCGGTAATCGCCTAGCCTCGCCCAGACTGGGTCCGAACTTCCACGTTCCATAGCAACGAGAGGGGTGTACCGCAACTGCGCCCTCACAATACCTTGGGTGCAGCGCTATTAAGCGGGATTCACACACCATATTTGGCTTCTCTATGAGATTACCGCCGATATATAGCTCTTCGAGGTCGCATATACTCCGCCGAATCCCCGGGGCGCATCCCTCTCACCCGCCGCGTGCCCATGGTGGTGCGGTAGCAGTGCTCTCAGCATGGCCGCCTTCGTGCGAGTGTCGGGGCCGCCGAATGGCCATTTCCTGATCGGCTACCCCGGTATATCTGCAACAATGGTGAGGACCGACTATTCTCTGGTCTATCTCCGATACATACAGCCCTTGCTGACCTCCAGAAGCCACGTATCGAAGGCAAGGTTGAGATCCGGCCTAGCGTTGGCATTACAGCTCCCGTCAATGTGTCCCTCGTCACCATATCCCTTCATCGCCGTGAGACAATACACCCCTCCGCCGACTCTGTGACCAAGAAGCACCTCGCGCCCCCTAGGAAAGAAATCACGGATATTGTGGGCAAGGAGATGCTCCTCTTCCGTTGCCCAGCGGGTCGAGAGTACGAGGAAGTAATATCCATGGATTTGCCCTTCGTCCTTTTCATTCCATTTGGGCGCGGAGGGCCGGACGCTTCGAGAAGAGTTCCACCCGCCAGTTTACAACTCCCTAGTCGCACCGCAGAGACATTCTATGAAATAGTGGTTATGGTTCAACAAGGTCATTCGGATCAGCGAAAATACACCTTCCCGGTTCCCATCTCACGCTATGATACACTCTCCACCTTCGGAATGTACAACCGTCCTGAGTCGGCGGAAAGGGTGTCGGACCACCTGGTCACCTTGGGCATATCCTTGCCAAGGTGGTCTTACGGCCCCCTTGACCCTGTGAGCGTTTACGTTAAACTATCGCCCAATCTCGACTGGATAGGAAAAGCTAGGAAAGTCACAATCAACAAAATTACTATCGGTATCGACGAGGAGATCATCTACAACCATGAAGGTGATGAGCCACAGCGGAAAGTGAGGACCTTGACGAAAAGAACAGAGCCCATTGGGGTGAAGCTACCCCCGTCGGGTTTTTTGACGAATCTGGGTTTAGTATTTCCAGCCAAAGATCTTCGCGACTCCAAGGGTATTCTTCCCAGAAGCGATATGGCTTTTCCGGCTTATGCTGTGACGGGGTTTACAACAACGGCGAGTCTTTATAAAATCGAATATTATCTCACAGTAAAGGTTCGTCTTCCCGCTTGCAGGTGCAGTCATGTGGCTTTGGCTAACCATCATACTACAGGCCCACTTGACTTCCGCCAGAGATATTGTCATTCGACAGCCGATAGTTGTATGTCCTCTTGATCATGCTGGTTGTAAAGAGGAAATGGATGCTATCGAACAGGCTGCCCGCGAGGCGGTTCATATTAATCCGGATAATCCCATGTTGCCGCTTCCCTCTATCGTGCGCCCCAACGATCCCAATGCTCTTCGTCATCTGGGTGTTGCTATTGTCGGCAATCAAAAGAAGCCCTTGATAGACTGAGCCACAGTTGCTAGTTCGGACTCAAATGTCCACCATTTCCAACGAAGCATGCCCAGGCTTGCTCGGCTGTGGGCTGATCGGGCCCATTCCACAGCGCCAGCCCCAGAACAACGCCTGATACGCGCCGATAGAGCCTGATCGCGTCGTATATTTCTTTTTCTGATTCGGGCGTGCTTGCTGTGACGCAAGAAGCGTCATTACGTCTTACGAATGCATGGGCTACGGAGTTTTGTCGTTGCATGGTTTCCTGGTAGCCATTTCGTTCCATTTTTTGTTGGCCGGAGCAAAACGGGGTGTTTGGGTTGCCTTTGCTTCATACGGAGGAAAAGGCTGGGGGGAGAGGTTCCATCCTAATTTGGTTCACGTGCTTTCCCATGCATGTTCTAGTGGTGCATGCGCAATATAATATGTAAGATCTACCTTTTCACAGCTCAGTTTGGAAGCGACAGAGAAGGAACCATTCTCAGCAGCTCAACTTGGATTCAACATGTGGCAGACAGGCAGATAGATGGTCCCGTCCGCATAGTTCACAATATTTCTTGCTTATCACGCAAGGCCGACTATCTGGAGCACTGTATAGCGATGCTAATTTCTGGAACGAAATACAACGAGAGCCACAGACCCAACGAGGTGAGGGGCTCGTATATCTTCAATCATCTATCACAGCACCCGTATTCAATACATTCCAAATGTGTAGGGTATTTGTAGAACATCGTAGCATAAAACATAAAACAGCCATACAATACGCTTGTCAAAACATGGACTCTCCCCACACAAAGACTCGAGCCAAGGGGGTCGTCAGAATGCAAACCAATAATCAGAAATCCAACCCCTCCATCCCCACCTCATAATCCACTTCATCTTTCCTCCCCAATCTTCAAGAACTCCATAGCAGTGCTCAACATATCCGGATCAAGCTCGCGACTATTGCGCTCATTCATATCCTTCTCCACACGTCTCATGAATTCCTTGAGCATCTCCACAACACACTTGTATTGTGGTGAACGGGGGCCGAATGTAGTCAGTGTGTTGGAGAGATTGACGGTGATCTAAACTGCGTTAGAGGGGCAGGCCTACATAATGGTTGTATGTGCCTAACTGGAAGACTTACCTGAATGAAGATCGCCTTGTAGTCAGGACGAGGATCTTCCATATTGGAGATATGGGCACAAAGGGTGCTGCTATTGGAGCAACGTCAAGGAATTTTATGATGGTGGTGCGGACCCTTTTTGGAATTTCAACCCCGCGGTTGTCGGATCTGATAAGCAGACTGGAGAATGTTGGGCCTCTGAGAGGTTTAGGCGTCAGCCATCAACGTTGCGCACAAGAGCGGTCTATGGGTGTGTGACGGGGGCAGAATTGCTTGGTTCTGAGTGTTGTTGAATAGGTTTGGCTTGATTGGGTTACTATCTAGTAGGGGTGGTGAATACTCTTCTCTCTTAAACATTGCAATAATGTACTTCAGAGATATATCGCATTGACTACTACAGTGTAATCATCAGTACGATGTCGGCATCGAGCTATACTAAATATGTACTATAGATACACTCGAAGTAAAGGCAGTGATGGTATGTAAAGCATTATAGAAAAGCATCATGATGCGCTCCGTCTGGTTCTGATTATCAATGACCATTGTTCGGTGTTAAACCATCAACCGATAAGAAGCTGCCTAGAAAGTTCCCCGCAGACATAATACCTAAATACACTAACGAAAAAAGAAAGCAGTTAATTTGGACGCTCCATTTGTGTCACCAGAACTGGTTGGAAATGCAAGTTAGAAGGCAGACCGCAGGCTAAGCCCGAAACTAAACCCCGTGCATTCAGATTTTCTTATCGGAAGTGGATATCGATCCGCCCGCGCAGCTTAACTTTCTTTCCACTCTCGCTTTCCCCTCACGCGCTCTGCCATCCCCGACCGATACTACATGCTCTCTAGATTGGGTCATTGTCGGCTGGAATCAAGATGGCTGACATAGATGAGGCCGTCATCCATATGCCCTCGCAGGATGCGAGCGCTCACATTGACACCGACCTCTCCGACGAGACTCAGGACTTCCGCATGCTGAATAGTATTTCCTTGTCAGTGCTACCACGCGTCTATCTGCAACCCTGCCCCAATTACAGGTTAATGCGCAAATGGCAAACTGACAATGGAGAAAACAGCCTTACAGATGGTTCCCAACAAAGTCTCCCCAAACGTGGTGAAAAGGACTTCGAACCAAACCCGACGCTCTTCCAAGCCGACATTCTCTCCGCCTCGCGGCAGGCCATGCACAATGCCCTTTCGTACCCTCGTCTACATCACCCGAAGACACAAGTCGTTGGAATATACTCTCCCAATGGACCGATCCCGCCGCGATCTGCCCAAAAGTTAGATACCATTACGGAAGAATCGGAGCCCTCGAAACCCGCAGGCACGGATATAGGCGTCCATCCCGACTCGTGTGTCTATGTTCCCGCCCCAAAGGGGCAGTACTTCAAGTCGATAGGTCAGGCTGATCGTTGGAACCGCGTCTGGTTACTTCCTGAGGAGGCTCTGTATTTACTTGAAAGAGGGACCTTAGATATTAGGTGGCCGTGCTCGGAGGTCGGCTGTGCTGACGATGAGGGGACGGACGACTCTGGTATCCCGATGAGCTTACAGGCTGCCTATGCGGCGTTCATGGGGCGGAGCGGTCTGACCAGTGAGCGGTACTCGGTTTATACGGGATTGAGGCGGTTGGGGTATACGATCATTCGTGCCCCAGGGTGGCACGATGCAGAGGAGGGCGTGGAGACCAGCGAATCACAGCAAACAGCACTGGAGAAGCCTCAGGGTTTGGGTCTTGGGATTGCTGGGGTGTTTAGGCAGCTTTTGCAGTGGCTGTACAAACCTGGTAGCGCTACAACTGCGTTGGGACCGGTTGTGGGTCTTGGGATTCATCGCAGTTATGGTACGTTTCTTACTCTCCACTGCGCTTGCGGTTATAACTGACGCTGCTTCAGATGACATATATCAGAAACTCTCTATAATCCCGTGGTATGACCCAACTGCATCGCCTTCTCCCCCGCCTCCTACGACACCTCCCTATCGTGTAGTTTTCCATATCTACAAGCCATCCACACCTTTCAAGAAATCCGCCCCTCCGACCCCCGACTTCAGGCTCGCCGTTGTGAATGCACGCACGCACACCACGATCCCGACATCAGCTCAGCTTGGAGCGTTGCTCGAGAGCACACCGCTCGACCCACCAGTGGGTGAGAAGATGAGTCGCCAGCTGTACCAGCGACTCCGGTATGGATACAGGAACGTGATCCTGGCTGTAGTCGACGAGGGCGTCGTGAGCTATCTCCGAATTGCAGACTCGGCATTTGGCAAGGAAAAGCTTTACAAGCAGCAGAACACGAAAGGAAACAAAGGACCCTGGCGTCCACGCCCCAAAGGACGCTGAGGGCTATCAAAGTCCAGTATACAGCTCATGCTAAATACAGCCTCTGAAGGGATAAGAGCATTTCTCCCCTGGAATAAGGCCCGAAATCCACCAGAACGGACACGGACTGAATAGAGGGGATGATAACAACTTATCTGCCATCATCTTTAGTACACCCGTCCACGGAGTGAAAGGACGGATATAGATGCTCCGATGGCGAGCCAGTGGCATTAACAGCCCACTGACCAAGTGAGATGAAATGTGCAGTGGAAGGAGTCCGCAAAAGGGACAAGAGACAGCAAGATATCCGTCTATTCTTCAAGTTATATACCCAGATCATAACGCCACCCTACCATCTGTGAAGAAGCTGAAACCACAACCACCAAACTCCATATGATATACAATAGAGACATAGAGCCATCATGTCGCGTTATTCGTAAGAACCCAAGCCATCCCACTGCAATAAACCTAGAGCCACAATTAGTACAAACCCCGCACCAACCAACCCAACGTAAACTCAATCACTTACCTACACGGACCAAATCAGATCAAATCACACCTCAATCAAGCATCCAAATAATCCGCCGCCATCAACAACTCCAAACACAACTCCGGCGGAATATCCATATCCGGAACGTACGTCTGGTTCTTATTCTTCTCATTGTAGCAGAAATACTCGCATACTTTCTCTAGCACGATGCCGCTGATATTCTCGAGAACGCATCGACCGGTAACGGATTCTGAAAAACGACCTATGAAGAAAAAACCGACCGGTTAGCAAATGCCACCACTCATGTGAAAATGAAGAGAAAGAAAAGAAAACTCACTAGACGGCTCTAACATGCGACGTATCGTCCCGGACACACAGGCTGTGCTGCGGGGGATGACGAATTCGAATCCATCGCCGGACACCAGAGTCACGTATTCGGACTGTGAGGAGGAGGAGGAATCTGAAGTGGACATGGTTTGAAGGGGGAGTGGGTGGCGGGGATGTATAAATAAGTAAGTAGATGGAGCAAACGAGAGAAATGGAATTGGGTGGAAATATGGCAAATGATACGAGACGCGGCGCGGTGCGGCGGGCGATAAGTGAGTAATAATCGGCCTTGGTTCCGCGATTTTAATTTAGGCTGCGGTTACTTGATAGGCTCCAGTTTCGGGGTGGTCCGTGCTTAAGCTCCGATGCCGATGCTGTCACTCTCTGTCTTGTCTAACTAGTTATCTTTATTCTGGTGTCTGTTGTGGAGAAAGTTATACGCAATTGATTGCAGGTTTGGGGTAAGAAGGGGTCTTGTTAATTAGGGAAGTAGTAAGTTAAACATTACTCTTATTGAACAACACATCGACTAATCAGGATGTAGTATTCTCTCACTCTGTGCAAAACTACCGAAGGAGCCTGGTATTTCCTTGAGACTATACACTTCTTCCGCTCCTAGTCACAGATGCTATAAACCAACTATCATCATACCATGTATCAAAGTAACATCCTACGCCTTCGTGGCGTAGCCCCAAGGCTTCAAGCCCATCCCACAAACACACCTCACCATCACATCCCACACCTCCTCCCCCTCTCCACTCAACGAGCATACTCCCTCCCAGCCGAGAGTCCACCACCCCAATTCACCCCCTCCAACCGCCTATCCAACCGGACATGCATGATCACCGGCGGAACATCCGGGATCGGGTTCTCCATCGCCGAGCGCTTCCTCCAAGAAGGTGCCTCGCGGGTGATCCTCGTCGGACGGTCCTACGAACGACTCTACAACGCCGCATCTCGCCTTCAAATCGACTCACCAGCCATCATCCCCTCCACGGAACCTCCCCAGCCCATCACAAACCCAGAGAAGCACCAGCTCCTCGACTCCTCCTCCAGAATCAGCCTCCTAATCGGCGACATCGCCGACGCAGGGTCCTGGACGCGCGAGCTCGAGAAAGCAATGGTACGTCCATCCCTCCCTCTCATCCATCCATACCAGTATGTTCGAGAAAGGACATCCTCACAAATAACACCATGAACGAGCAACACAGCAAGCAACAAACCCCGACATCCTCGTCAACGCCGCGGGCCTCTCCATCTCCTCCATCCTCCCTAAATCCGAACCAACAGATATCTCCCGTATCCTGCGCACGAACCTCGAAGGAGCCCTTCTCACCTCTCGAGCCTTCATCCGCGCCTCGATCCGCAATCGTATGAAGAAATCTACCACCACCACCAGTGAAAGTCCCGCAGCATCATCATCATCATCATCATCATCATCAAAATGTATAATCAACATCTCCTCCCTGCTCGCCCACAAATCCGGAACCGGCGCGGTCCCCTACGCAGCATCAAAGGCCGGAGTCCTCGGTCTCACCAGATCAGTCGCCGTTGAAGCGGCAGCTTCGCTGCGCGATGTGGTGGTAAGATCGAATGCGATTGTGCCGGGGTATATTGAGACGCCTATGATTTCGGGTTCGTTTCTCTCTTCCTCCCTCCTCCCCCCCTTCTCCCCACAATCCTTATGTTCATTTCCTACGTTTCTATGCTCTAGTTGGGTGTTTTATGAAAGAAAATGTTGCTTGCTGACGCAATGGGATAGATTTCTCAGATGGCGAAACAGCCCGGTTGAAGGAGAGTATCCCCGTGCGACGATTCGGGAGACCGGAGGAGGTTGCGGATGCGGCGGTGTTTTTGGCACAGAATGAATATGCGAATAATTGTGTGTTGAATTTGGATGGGGGGTTGAGTGCTATCTAAGTGAAGTATACTATCTATATCTTGATGGGGTTGGAATGTATGGTTAACTAAAATGTATTATGTGTGTACAATACGTGAGATGTGGTGACTTATAGCTAATAAAAGCATCTTCTCCATCAAAATGAGCTTAATCTATCCAGCACTCCACAGAAAACAACATAGCTAGTAATCATCCATTCTATCGAAACCGATCATGCGGGGTTTGTGTATGCAAAGTAGCGTGATAAAGTATGTTACATGAGAATAGTAAACAGAAATAACACAAAAGCAACAAAACCCAAATCGATCATGCGCCAGATCTGCAAAGCCAAGAGAGCAAATAGCAAAGTTCACTATGTTGGTCGAAGATGCCGAACCCCAATTAACTACCCACCTTGGTATCATTTTAATCATCATCAATCAGGATTGCGCCGCCGTTTGCCTCGTCCAAGACGATAGGATTGGCTCCGTCACCATCCGAGATGGACATGGCTGCCACTCGCTTGGCTGGGTTGTCACCGTTGCTGAGCCCGGCTTCGTCTGCGTCGCGCTTGCGCTTGCCTGCGCCGTTGACGGGCTCGAGCTCGGGCTCAGGGGCTGCAGGTGCGGGTGCTTTCGGCTTGCGGGGGATGTCGGGAACAGATTCCAGGGAGGCGGGTTTTTGGTCTTCTGTGGATTGAGAGGCCTCAGTCGCTAGCACAATGAGTTCAAGGTTGACGCGGGGCTGGTCGTCCTCTTCGTCGATGACGGTGATGAAACTCTCGTTTTTGACGCCGAGGTCGGTCAATTTCTTGGGAAGGTTGTCCTCTAGATCGGGGTCGTAGATGGTTCCCAGTTCGGTGTTGATGGAGAACTCTTCGCCGTAACCCAGCTGCGACCGGAGGATGTCCTGGACCAGGTTTTCCAGTGTCGCGCGCTGAGGATCGATCTTCAGCCTGGCGTGAGTCACGGAACACACTGGACAATTGGGGTTTGGAGGCTGCAAAGAATCGGAGTTGATCGCACGAACACCGCTGCGTTCGAGGAAGACCATCTTGGCCTGGTCGTACTCGCCTCGTAGAACCTTGTAAGCCTGCAAGACACAGAGACCAGCCGTCATGGCGTTGGTGGTTGCAATAGCTGGGATGATGTTGCCAGCCATCTGTTTCGTGTCGAACTTGGACTTGGGATCGATCTTGAAGATGCTTGCCCGCAAATTGGCAGTGGCGGCGACGAAGTCCAGGGTGTCGACGTCGTCCTTATCGAAGACTAAAATAGGCTTCACGTCACTCTTCGTGGTATCCTGCAGGGTCTTGAGCCGCTTGCTCAATCGATCTAGACTGTCCTTGAAGACGACAAAGTCCTCAGCCAGAGTCCAGACTTTCTGGTCATTGCAGGAGACCACAGGTTCGATGCCCGAAGACTCCTCTTGTAGCTTGTGGAAATCCAGAGGCTCTGGGGGATCTCGCGTCTTCCACATGTCTTCCATGCCTCGTAACCGATCTATGTCCTCCTGAAACACTTTTTCGAAGACTTTCTGCGCAAATTCATCGGAGCCCATGGATTGACGGATCTCCTTGAGGGCCTGAGCCTCCCTGCGGAGATTCTCGATCTCTTCGGCTAGTACGAATTAGCCAGTGTCAAATAACGTCGCCAGTCCCACTCACAGTTTTCAGCGTCTTCCGAGTGATCAAATTCGCTCGAGTCATCCTCGCTTATGCCGAAGAGCTCACTTTGTACATTAGCAATTATGCATGAGGTTGCCGCCTGATGACTTACGGGAAAAGGTAGCTCTTAGCCCAGACGATACAGTGGATCGGCTGACTGGGTGTACTGCGGATAGTGCAGACCGGGAACGACTTGGGGACCTCCTTGGAGTTACAATCGTAGCATTCCGTGACGCCCTAGCAGTTGTCAGCAGTCGCGCCTACCAGTCGTAGAGACACAGAAGGTAGGGACTTGACGGCGCACCTTCTTGATGACCTGAACTTGGCCGTTGAACCCCGTTGTTCCACTCTCCACTAGCGGCACATTGGCTGCCAAGCACATCCTATTCACATGGCGTCGAGCATCGAGGTTGTCCAAAGCGTTGAAGACGACATCAAATGTCGCAAACCAGTCAACGTTGAACTGGTCATCCTTGATGTTCGCATGGTATGCTTCAAGCTTCGCACCGGGCTGGAACTTGTGGGCGACTTCCTTCGCAACCTAGATATAGCGCCACCAACCGTCAGGATCTCGTTCGGAAGGATGGAAAGGACGGAAATGGGAGGGGATGTAGGTAGTAAGACGTTCGGAGGGAGTTTGACGCACCAATGCTTTGGGTTTCTTGATGTGTTCGAAGCGGAAAAGGAATTGGCGGTTGAGATTGCTCAGATCGATGGTGTCGAGGTCGATGATATGGATTTCGCCGAACCCGGAGAGCAGGAGGTTCTTCAGCAATTCGCATCCGATGCCACCAGCACCCACCAGAAGCACACGCGACTAGAAATTGAATCAAGGGGAATGGTTAGCATGGGTATGCGCCAGCTGAGCTTCTTGCTAAAAGTGAAGCGTCAAGGAGAATAAGCGTGGGGGGTGATGGGGAGCGGTACCTCTTTGATTCGTCTGGCTAGAGTCCCGAGCGAGCGCTTAAGATAAGTCTCCCGCGTCATGGTTGCGGCGCGGAGACGGACAGTAGATCGAAACGGAGACTATCGCAGTCAGAGCGGGCGAAAAGGCATCGCCGAACAAAGGAGCTGTTTGCAAAGCGCGAATTGAGGGAATGGAGGTAGGCAGAAGACAATGAGAGGCAGAAGTGAAAGTAGGAAGAAGCTCCGGCGGAGAGGAAGAAGTCCGGAAGCAGTCGAGGAAGGTGAAGTCAGGAAGAATGAAGTAACAATCCCGAGCCCACTTCAACTTCCCCCCGAACTGCAGTACTTCTTTCCTTTCAACCCCATCATCACCACAGGGTGGGGGACCCCAGGTGAATCAAATCCATGCCCAGCAACAAACTCGATGTTTGACTGCAGGCGATGCAAAAATAAAAAATACAAAAATTAAAGGAAAGTTCTCTAACCCTCCAACTGTCCGTCACATTTGTCTTGTCCAATGCAACCAAAGCGGATCGGCCAGTCTTGATGGCGATCGTCCCGCATCCGATCGCATTTCCCTGTTTGTCGTACCAACACGAGGCCATTCGACTATCAGTTCGTCCATTTACTTTGTTCTGTGTGCTTGAATAGTGTCCTTGTCAGATGTTGCTATAAGGTACTTTACGCCTACTTGCCGCTCAAATGTCGCCAACCCTCAATTGCGACTGATGCATCTCACAAGCCCAGCATGTGAGAGCTCACATTCCTACCTTTTACTCCTCCACGATGGTTGGGCGACTCCTGCACGGTATAGAGCTAGCAGGGGGGGTTCTCATGCCGGAGCTGAGTACCCAGCGCCAAAAATCAGAGGTTGACAATGTACTTTGCATGTTCTGGATCTTTCATAGTGGGGTCTGTACTTGATGGATGTCGGGCTTTTCTACGAAGTATCTCTAGGCCGTGGAGTTTATCGAATTTCATCCACGTCTTACTGTATGGCCAGGCCATGAGGCTGACAGATCGGCAGAGCTGGAAGACGTGCAGTCCTACAGAGTGAGACCTGAAATACCGCCGTGTGAAAGTGCCAAAAAGACTGTCTGTCATCTTTATTCGTGGCGCTCTCCGTGATATCCTTGGCCTCACCTAATCATCACTAACCACAGCTAGTAAATTCATCATAAAGACGACCAGTTAGGTGGGACGCCACGGGCTTTCTATGGCCCGCTGTTGGGTCGCAGTCAGCGAAACATCGCCAAAGTTGTAGGAGACATTCGTAGGTACTTGTCTTGTTCAGCACTGACGCGCTTTGCGGAAACGCAGAATCAACGTCGGAAGCAGGCTGTCTCTTCAACAGGGGTGGATGGATACAAAAGCATCTGAGTCAGTAGCAGATCACCTTCCACAGCTAACTGTGCTATAGAGATAGCTCACTTTCCGCCTCAGAATGTCGCGCACACGTCTACTCTGTTGTTGTACAATCGCACAACTTAGTGGTAGCATGTCGATTAATACAGATTTCCAGGCTAAAATCCATTATTAACTTTAACACAGTATACTACCAGTAGGTGCTGTCTACAAAGCATAAGCATTGAACGACGGGCTTCTTCATTGGCGGAACAAGGTCAGCGTCTGAATGGAGTCAAGGTTGAGGAAAAGGAACAGTGGCTGGCTTTGCTGTGTAACAACCAACCAGGCCAGCATGCTTCCATGAATCCGACAGGCTCTTCCGGGTATGTGTGTATCCGAGCTTCAACCGCAAGTCTTTTCCAAGGAAGTTTGGTAGTCGAACCAAGACTAAACCAACAGGACTTAACTAAGTTATCGCATTGATTAATCGACTGTCACCAAAAGTCTTAAAAAGTGGCACCCGCCAAGGAGATAAGATACCCCTGCTTACATAACCAGCACTTATCGGACCAAAAAGTTGAAGCTGGAAATTCCCGATAAAAGAATTGAGGGACATGAAAGAAAGAACCAAAAAGCAGGTCTTCCTTCATTGATGGGGTCGATTGATTAGCTCCTAGATGACATTGGAGAATTACCTCCGTAGATAAATAACTTGGTAGTGCGTGAATTTCCGCTGGGAGATTCGCCTTGGAGCCTGCCTTTGGCCCGATCGCCCTTTCTGGCAACAACCGTCTTTAATCCAAAGACAGTCGCTCGTGGGGATTTCCCATTTTTCAATCCGTTTCCCTCTTTCCCTCCATCTCTCTCCCCTTTCCTCGTTATCGCCTCTGCCGTGAACCCGGAGTTCGCTGGTTCTCCGTCTTCTCCTCGCCAATTTTGCTCTACACTTCGGTTGGCACCTAACCGAGCAAAAAAAGTGTCATCGGGCAAGACGTGTCCCCCTGGAGCTATGTCGGACGACGAAGCAGACCCCGAGTTGATTGCGCTTCTGCGCAAGACACTGGGACTGGGAGGCTCTTCTGATCCTCGAACCGCAGAGACAAAAGTGCTGGAAAATGCGCAATACGCTTTCGACAATGCTATCGACGTCGCATTGAACCCCTCCAAGACGAAAGAAGCCGCGGAGACGATATGGAACCTGATGCAGAAGAAAGAATACTCGACGCAAACATGGTCGGAGCACGAATTGCACCCTAAAGCGAAAGACGAAAACACGGTCGACTTCATTTTCACGATGGATCTCCTCAACTTCAGTTTCTGGTCGGAGCTCCCTAGCGAGAAGCGTTTCGCGATTGAGTACCGAGGAAGGAAGTGGACAGGCTACTGGAGCTTGGTTGCTGCCTTGCAAAGAGCTTTGGATGAGGGTAGGTCTTTTTGCCGCATGCTAAGCAAGAGATGCGAGAATCTAACTGTTATAGACATTCCGATCACCACGCCGGAGTTTTGGACCAAGGAAGATGAATGTACCGAGGAACTTATCAAGCATGTCTTCCGCTCGGCCACCGATGAAAAGATCCCTTTGCTCCAGGAACGTCTTCAGTGCCTGCGAGAGGCAGGTCGAGTTCTTTGCAGAGTATGTCCTTCGCGATTCACATCCCCTGCGCCGGATGCTAATAAGTTCCCCATCTGCAGGAGTATGAAGGTAGTTTTGTCAACTGCATCTACAACTCCAACTACTCTGCGGCTTCGCTAGTCAATTTGCTAGCAGAGAGCTTCTCCTGCTTCCGGGACGAGACAACCTTCCACGGGCGGAGAGTGCGAATCTACAAGCGGGCTCAGATCTTGGTTGCGGACCTTTGGGCTTGCTTCAATGGTGAGGGGTATGGAGAGTTTAATGACATTGATAAAATCACCATGTTTGCAGGTAAACTCTTGACCTCCTTCCTGGACACCTTGCCTGGACTCTGGCTCATATTTTATAGACTATCGAATCCCTCAGATGCTCCACCAACTCGGCTGTATGTCATACTCGCCGCCCTTGGAAAGCCACATACGCAGGTTGCAGCCGATCCCTAGCGGGTCCAACTGGGAGATTGAGCTTCGAGCAACCAGTATCTGGTGTGTCGAATTGATAAGAAGGGAAATCGAACGCCGACACCCAGAAACCAGGGTGAACCCGACGGTGAAGCTCAACAGAGACAAGGAGGCAGAAGAAGACGAAGACACCAAAGATCACCAGCAGAAATGCTCAACCCAGAAATTTGTCAAGAAGGAGCCCGTTCAAAAACCCGCTGGAATGGGCGTGAACGCTATCTTGATAGATTTCTTCCTCTACGACACCATGAAAGAAATAGAGAAGACCGGACAGGAGTCCATCCCGCATCATCGGACAAGGAGTATCTGGTATTAGACTGGCGGCAAAGCATATCACCTGCGTTTGTTTTTGTCTCTATCGGCTTTTCCAACACTATACCCCGTTGCTTTACTTGGCCACGCATTTCATTTAAAGGTTGCTTTTCGGGTGGGTGATGGGTATAGACTTGCATACATTGTGATAATGATACCATAGCATTGCTTTTTAACTTCACTCTTATTTGTGGGCTTCTGTACACAATTTTTATTCATTCATTACAACCCACTGACCCAAACAAACTACAATATTGTTCTACCCCAAAGAACCACCATCTCAATTCATGGGTATCTCATCTGTATTAATATATATAACATTCCAAAATACTATCAAGCAGCCTGAGCCGTCCTCTCCATCTGCTCAATCCGCGCCACCATATCCGCCTTCCACTCGAGATAATCCTCCCTCCGATCCTCACTCAACCAATCCACCCGATCTTGCATCATAGTCCCCAACCCCGGAAGCAGTCCTCGTCTGGAAGACTTGCCCGCAATCAAAGCCCCCCTCCCAGAGACCATCAACCTGCCCCTACCCACATCCTCCTCGGCAACCCCACCCACCAGCTCATCCCCAAGAGCGCCCTCATCGCCATCCAACTCCCCAGCCAACGGCACATTCTCAAACCACTCCTTCCCATGAGCCCACCCCTGCTCCATAACCAACGCAATCCACTGATCCACATCCTCCCGATGCCGCCTCTCCGTCGACGGAAGGCCCAGACTAACCAGCGCGGTCTGTCGCATCTCCGAGAACGTCTTCTTATCCATCTTCTTCGCCTCCGCTGCCTCCTTGGCACCATCATCGTCCGATGACCCCGGTTGTCGGCGACGAGCAAGCACAAGGAAATACACAGCAACAATCAACGCATTGATGATCTCCTTGAAATCCTCATCGTTCTCTTTATCCTTGGCTAGGATAACGGGCTCGAGGAACTCCATCATCTCCTCGTCGATCTCTTCGTCGTGTTTCGCCGTCGCTTCGGATATCAAGTACAGGATGGTAGATACACCGGCGAAGATGTGAGGCGGGAGAGTTCTCGAGATAGGTGGTCGAGACCATGTGCTCATGCGCGGGGCGGGTGTCGAGAGCGTCTTGCAGACTGTTCGGATGGAAGTCATCACCCAGCTAGGGGCGTCGGGGATGATGGTTGAGCCGGAGAGGCCATTTGCGCGGAACTTGGGGATTTTCTGGGGTCGAGGGGATGGTGAGGGTCTGTCGGTGTCGGTGTGTGAGAGTGCGCGCTTGAGAGGGGTGGATTTCGTGGGCGTATTCTGTTGGTGTAGTTGTTGTTGGTGTTGTTGTTGTATCCCTCGCGGAGTAGCAGTTGCGGTGGTCTTTGATGGGGTCCTTTGCGTGCCCTTTCTTGGTGTTGAGGGTGTTGATCCGGTGCGAGATGGTGTCCCTGGGGCGGAGGCACTTGCGCGGGCATTCCCGGTAGAGAGGGATCGGTCAAGGAAGGCGTAGAGCTTTTTGTAGGCGCGAGGGGGGCATGGAGGGTGGCCGAGGAGAGGGGGGAGTTTGAGAGCGCGGGTTAGTCTATTATCGTAGAGATAGTTAGCATCAATGCATATAGAAGACTGGTGTATGAGAATGGGGAACTGCACACCTCTTGCAAGCGATTTCAGCGCACGCATACGGCCGGGCGATCTCTTCTTCAGGCTTGAGACTGCTTGAGAAGCTGCGCGATTGGGCGACGAGTGATATGGCGAGACTCAGTAGTTCTTGTGGGAGGTCTTGCGCGTGTGTAGGCAGTAGCGTGGCCAGCGCTTGTTCGACAGGCCTGTTGTTCATGGTGGTTAATAACAGTAGATCAAGATGCGATTGACGATGGTTGGTCAGAAGGAATTGGGTGTAACTTGATGCAAGGTCAAACGAATAGCGTATACTCAGAAATACTCATAAAACCTATACACCAAAAGCAATCGTAGAGTATATTGTGAAGTTGATGTAGGAATGGGATGTGGTTCTGCTGGATGGAATATCACGACCGTCATGTGATCTGCAGATAAATGCGCTCCGCATCGATGATCGCCGCAGCTCTCCGTCGTTCATTGCGCCCATATTTCCCATCCTACTATCGTTCGACTATCAGCAGATAGCACAGACTCACACACCATGTCTGTAACAGTGAGTCTATCCCCATCAATTATACTACCATAAAACCCAGCGAATACTAACCACCTCCAACTCTACTCCAGCTCCATACCACCCACGGCGACCTCAAAGTCGAGCTCTTCTGCGAAGCAGTCCCCAAAACAGCAGAGGTACATACTTCCCTCCCTCCCCAACGCACCTTACTCCGTACCCCCCCAATAAGCCCAACTAACCACCACACAGAACTTCATCGCCCTCTGCGCCAGCGGCGCATACAACAACACCCCATTCCACCGTCTCATCCCGGGCTTCATGATCCAAGGCGGCGACATCTCACTCAACCCCTCCCTCACCTCCTCCTCAGCCAGCTCTAAACCCCCTCTCCCCTTCGAAGACATCCCCAAAGGCGGCACCTCGATCCACCACCCGCACGCCCTGAACCAAGAAATCCACCTCCCAGCACTAAAGCACAACACTCGGGGTATCCTCTCAATGGCATCCCGCCCCGTGAAGGATCGCACCGCACCAGGATCGCAAGGCGCCACGGGGGCAACGATAAACGGGAGCCAGTTCTTCGTAACGTTTGCGCCGGCGCCACATCTGGATGGCGCGAGCACGGTCTTTGGGAAGGTGCTGAATCTAACGGCGCAGGATGAAGGCGGGGATGTGTTGGGGAGGTTGGAGAAGGCGAATGTTAAGGTCGATAAGAAGGGGAGGGTGGTGCAGCCGAAGGAGGGAGAGGAGGGGGGGTTGGAGGCGTTGAGGATTGAGAGGGTTACGATTCATGCCAATCCGTTTGCGAAGTGAGGTGGGGGGGATTTGTGGTTGGTTGATATGTTTTGAAGGGTTGGTTGGTATGGTCATGGTCATGGTCATGGTCATGGCCATGCTTTTATATCGATTGTGAGATGTGAAGACGCCATGCTTGGTGCTGGGCCAGGGACTATATGCACGGCACTTGGGTGTCGGTATCGCAATGGCTGGGCTCGGCTCGCCTCACTACTTAAGGCTACCAGCGTCGCTCGATACCTCAATCAATGTCCGTGGTGGACTGGGGTCTGAGCTGCTAGATGCTGGGTTGAATCAGATACAGAGCGAGAACCCGATCGGGATCGCCAATCTACTCTATAATAAGGATAAATGAAACAGACAGACGGTCATCTATACATGGTTCGTATATGATATCTCTAAAAGCACACATCATCAATGAACTTTTTTTTCACAACCCATGGATATCACCCCCAAACTATGAGTAACAAAAAAGTGGAACACCCCACAACCACACCATATGACAATGCCAACATGCACCGGATATCTAGAAACAAAACAAAAGAATAAAACAAGGCCAAACGTAAAACGTCATCGCAATGCATATATACGAAGGGGCCAAGTGTGTGAAGTTCATGCACATCGTAACAGAGACAAGACCAAGGTCATCAAAGAGAAACGCGAAAGCAGAGTCTAACGGGTATAACGGAGTCGGTTTATCACTGCTGCTCGTCGGCAGGCTTGTTCTCCGCATCCTGCTCGTATCCCTCTGTCTTCATGTCCTTCAGACCGAGCTCCTCTTCCTCCTCATCAGTGCGGGTGTACTCCTCCGTCTTGATCTGGGGATCAGCGGCAGGAGCACACAGGTCTTGGACGTAGCTGTTAGCCATGGGGTCCTCGAGGGTGATGACAAACTTCATCTCGCCGCTAATAGCAGCGTCGAGACGCTTGAAGAAGCGCTCCCACTTCTCCTTGTCAGAGGAGGCCATGCTGTCTCCGCCGGAGCCGGTGGTGTCGTCGATGTCGTAGATCTGGCCGCGCAGCTGGTCGCGGATCTCGGTAAGAAGACCCTCGACGGTGGTGAAACGACCACCCAAGGTTCCGGGCTGGACGGTAACCTCGAGCTGCTCACTGTAGAGTGCGCAGGTGTCGGACTTAAGGATATCACGGGCAAGATCGGTCTCGTTCTCAACACTGAGGGTGATACGCTTGCCCTTCTCGGGGACCTCGCCACCAGTCTTGACTTCACTGGTGCGGTATCCGCAGTGTTCACAGGAGGTACCCCAGACGTACACCTCCTTGAAGTAGGGAATGTCCAGTTTCTTGAAGTTGGTAAAGCACTCCTTGCTGCAGCCGGGGCATTCGGAAGGCAGGCTATAAACCTTTCCTGCGATGATATCGTCCTCCTCGGCTTCGGCGGCACCTTCATGCTGCACGGCGTTGGGGTCGGCAGCGATACCAAGCTGTTCATTCTGCTCGTGGGTACGAGGATAGTCGCGGCGCTTGTACTTCCTAACGTCATCGGCGGTGGTGGGAGCAATCCAAGAGTTACCGGTAGGGTCGTCGAGGGAGACAGTGAAGGGGTATCCCTCGCGGTCGAGCATGCTCTTGAGCCTATCAATGATGGGCACGAGGGCATCGTGGAGTTCAGGGGCCTGTTCCTTGCGAAGAGGCTGCTCGCTGGAGAGAGACTCGTAAATATTCTGGATAACACCCTCGACGGTGGTCATCTGGCCGTCGGTCTTGGGCATCTCGATACCCAAAGTCTCGAGCTTGAAGATCGAGGTATCACTGCGAATGACCTGGCGCTGCATGTCGGTCTCGTTCTCAACTTCGAGGGTGTACTTGGCGCCCTTCTCCTGGATCTGACCGGCAGACTTGACGGAGTTGTTCTTGAAGTGGCAGTGCTCGCATTCGAACGATTCGAGGATAATGTCACGGAAGAAGGGCACACGGAGGAGCAGGAGTCTGGTGGTACCCTGTTCGCAAAGTTAGACTCGTCATCCACAACAAGAAACATAATGTATTTAGGAACCACTAAGGAAACACCTACATTCTCGTGGCAGTTGGTGCAAAGACTCTCCAAGCTCATAACTCCAGTGTCATCATTGCGCTCCACCAGATCACCGGGCTTCTGGAATTGCGACTCGGGCTGAGTCTGGTTCTCGTCGGCGGACATTGTGAAGGGGGTATAAGCACTGGGTTGGAATTACAGTGAAAGAGAAGTGCTGAAAAGAATACAAAGATCAAAGGACCGTTTGCGCCAGAGAACACAAAAATGAAGGCGACAGGAAAATTTAAGCAGCAATGGCGGGAACGTTCCTTTGCATTCCACTATCGCCGTGGCGGGGCAAGTTTTTTTTTTGGAGGGGCACCCTAGTATTAGTCAGCCGGGGTTATTGGGCGCCAGAAATAGCATATGATTTTTAGAGATAATATAGATGGATCCGCGATTGTTGCAATAATATCCTAGTATGCTTATTAATAGTATATATTGTGGTCATGTAGACATAGACATTTCCGCAGATATCTCCTGAGTTCTATGCAGGACGTTGCACATGCACACATCACACCCAACCATCGGCTAAAAGCCCTGTATGCTTCCGCCCAATAACCCTGCTGTAGTTAGCCAAGCCAACTTATGGGGACTGGGGAGACTTATAAAAAAAATTGGGCCGTTTCCCCGAAGAGAAACGGCAGGTTCACCGACTGAAAACACCCTGGGCTGCTCGGCTACTATACTTCAGGCAGTACATCCATCTCCCTTCCAGTATGGAATCCCGAGTTTCATTGCAGTGCCATCGTGAACATCAACGGAGCGCCTTCTCTTCGTAGCTAGCTCAGCCCGATCCTGAAAGAAACACCGGCATCCAGGCAATATGGCATGGGAAACAACACGAAATCCAAGCAGACAAGCCTAAACTTTGATCTCCGTCAAGAGGTCCCGCATAGAATACCCTGTACGAACCCCAAAGCCCACAATGCTGGAAGATAATGCTTCGATCAAAAGCTGGTTCGACCCTGAGTGTCGCGACGGAGAGGAGAAGGACCAGCTCGGTTTGAAAGGCAGCGACTGCTGATCATCGGGCTGTTTGTGGGAGCAGTGTAGCACATAACCCTTGGCAAGTAGTGGAGCAGTTGAGGAATGCAATCGTCAAGTGAACGCGGTTTATGGCACAGGTATGCCTCACAACCTCCGCAGGGAATCGACCCTTTACCTATCCAAGACATTCCAGTCGAACCTTAGATCAAACACACCATCTCCCTACATCTTTAGACATGTTTTCTGCCCATTAATTGACATTCCAGCGCCACTTGATCTGACTTCTTGTGTGTGATACAGTACCCCCAGGGACAGGTTTTTGTTTCCTCCCCGCAGTACGAAACATTGGGGGGCATTCAAAGCGGACAAAGAACATCCCCAAAAGCCGCTTTCTTCTCCCCAAAGGGAGGGGCCACGACCGAAACCGTAGTCTGTACCAGCGCCCATCATCTATTTGCAACCTACATTGCAAAGAGACGGTTAACACGGGCGATCAGGATCTTCTATAGAAGCGCAAATCAGTGGCTGGTGCCGCGATTTGGTGCCACCTAGCCTCCGAAGTGGACGAAGTACAGGAAGTTGTAAGGTAGAAAGCAGGTACAAGGGTCCCAGGCCCCTCGAGATTGGAAGCATGTACGGGACAGCACAGGGCCCAAGACCGTGGACGACCGACAATGCCTGCATATTGAGCATCACCATTACATGCCAAGACTGATCTGGTGCCGGAATGTGACAACAAGCCAAAGGTCAGATGGCATTGCATAGAAGGCAAGGACCAAGCATGAATCATGCTGCCCGACAGTGAAAATGGACCTCGCTGCAATATAATCACTACGGACGTGCCTGGACACAACCGAGAGATTATATCGGTTCTGACGAGTGGATCCATTGACATATCGGGTTGATGACAGTGTGTGGGCAGTTTGTTGTATTCGAGATGATCAACTTGCACATGTAATGAATGATGCCCGCAGTGTTGCCCTCAAAAGCACGGTATTACCACCCATAGATTGCTCCCTAAGACAACTCCAAAACAGAGTTGCCCGACATGCTTCACCTGCCTTCTCTCCAACTCCAGTCTTCCAGGCATAGAGTGACAATCCGTAGTGATCAACATGTAGCGCCCAGCATTGGCAAACCGACGCGTGCCCTTTTCAGGAGCTTGTAACAAACGCATGATAAGCCGTCTTTGATTGCCTCCGAGGAAGCTCTGGACATCGGATTCCTTTCGTATCGTCAATCTCACCAGGGATCGAGCCCACTAATCGGTGCATCCGCCATGCAACACCGTGAAACTGATACCACCGAATGGCATCGAACTGATTGGTGTCTATTAGGGTTTAGTTCCCAAGCTTCCTCTTACCGCCTGCTCCTAGCAGAGCGCGAAAGATAAAACTTGAGAAGCCGTTGGAGGGTAAGATCTGTATAAAAGCCCGTAGCGGGCGGAGAGGCGAGATCAAGCGGCACTCCGGAAAGAACAATGAAAACACGTCCACACATCTTCAAAGGTATAGGGTCCAATGGAGATTTGAGCTCCTAAGAATCAACTTTGACTGAGCATCTCGAACAAGTAGAAATCAATAACTTCAGGGAGTTGGTTGAGCCAGCCAATGTCACAGCCGCTGTGTTTGGGGGAGTAAAAGGACGGGACTGAAATGATGCGCCTCGAGTCGAGCCGCCAACGGACGCGACGCGTTATCACGTGATGACCAGCCGCTGCAAAAGGACTGGAATGTCCTCGCACCCAGTCATCCATGGTTTACATTCACTAGTTGCTTTACAGCTCATTGACTTTGTTGTTCTCTATTGTTTTTGCTCGGACATTAACCCTTTTAAGAAGTAGCTATCAATGTACATGTTTAAGGACCATGAGAAGCATCCTTAGTGCAGTGACTCCATGACGTCATTCAATACACCGATGGTTAACTAACTATCGGGGGACATAACCACTTGACCCGATAGACCATAATCAACAGGATTCCGCTTCATTCCTCATGCCCGCAAAGGTTCACTATACTGTGGGTTTTGGTAAATTCCATGAGTGGCCACTTGCTTCTACCTAGTATTTCTGCAGCTTCTTTCGCCGCATTGCCGACTCAGCATGACTGGATGGCCTTCTGATCGGCATCTTAGTTGCCATTGGTCTCCAGACGGATTCGTTCCGGCCAGCTGCTAGGGTTGCTTGCGGAAGGAGTGGCTAAATTGACCTTCTAGTATTCTCCCAACAATTGAATCTGTGCGCCGGTGTGCTACAAGAAGGTCTGAAATCGCGAAAATCGACACGGTTTTGATCGTGCGGGACACTATGGACATTATCCAATAAGGCATTGACATATCATCGCAAGACTGTCAATATGGGGTCGGATATCACACCCCTTGTGGACCCGGAAGCCTTGAGCGGTATGAAGGCGACTTTGATCGGGCGTAGAGCCACCATGCCGGGGTCGGTAACATTCTCTGGATTCTGATCTATTGATGACGATATAAACAGCCAGACGTTTGGTCACGAAGTCCACATGATCGCGGGCCAGGCAGCAATAGTAGCATGGTCATCAATGAAAAGGTCATATGGCTGGATAGCATCGATTTCATTCTCCGACCTGCCGAGAAAATCCTGCATTGTCGGTTCTAAGAATGCCATCTCGGTAGTATAGCCCGTAGCTGGCACTATACTAATTGCATGAGGATCTGCGGCCGGGCCTCCAGCCGATAATGACGCGAGTGAGTGTCTTGGTGTTTGACTGCGACGCTCATGGCTGTCATTAACAACTCCAGAGTTGGTTGCCAATGTTTTCTTGACACGCTTGAGGTTCTCGTAGAATTCAGCAGCAGCGAGATTGCCGTGTTCACTCATCCTATGCAGGATCTCAATGGCAGTATCTAACGACTCCAGATCTGCCGGGTTTCCGATCATTGGCAAAAGACTAGAGATCACCAAGGCAATGCAAGATGAAAAGAAATACTGGGCGTAGAAATAGCCGTACATAGGCAGAGAGCCATTAACCCACTCCTCGATTATGAGTGCATGGGAATGCCGTGCAGCATGTATGCAAGCTTCACTAAGAGTGATGACCGGCTGGGGAAGGTCTTCGCTATCATCACGGTTGCTGTGATGTAATAGAGCATGAAGTAGGATGGGTCGAGTGGCTAAGATTACGCACTACGTACTGTTAACGCAAAGACCCAGCGTGGATGAGAAGGAAACTGACCTGATTAAATTGTAGATGTATGGATACAATATGCTTTGGCGGAGGAGAGTCCTCCGAGCGCAACTTGATATGCTCTGGGAGCGATTTAAGCCAGTCTTGTAAAGCCAGCAAGAGCTGCTGCTCCCGCTGAAGAAATGACTCTGCATGCTGTTTGCGACAATATATCTTGTCAATGGTCTGACCAATGATCTGCGACAGTCGAATACTGGCGACAGAGTAAGCTGTATCTGAAAACTGCTCCTCAGCAGCAGGACTGGCAACGTCGGTAGGCATATCGACATGGATATCTTCGTCGCGTATCTGTAGCGGGAAACCAAATTTTGAGGTATACATGCGGTCGAAGACATAGATAGCCCACCACAGCCGAACGCGATGCTGACGTTCTATAGGATCAGTGCATTGTCGCTCAGGAATATTATGGTTGAGCCCGAGGATCAGGCCCAGCCGCATGGCGCTGCCGACTAACATATAAGCCGAGTGTCGTCTGTTGAGGAAGTACGAGTACAGCGACTGATTGATGCATTTAGCAATATCTATGATATGCTGAAGCAGCAGTTGACTTACCAGTAGTAGCAGACTTTCCACGTGGATGACACCCGGTCTCTCGGGCAGGATTGGAATTAGTCCCATTGCTCGTACATAGTACAACGTGCCTGGAACTCGACCCGTTGGTGAAGAGTTGGCCCGAGACGAATAGACCTCGCCCAAGGCGAAAAGGGCGAAGAATTTGCACATAACAGCCGGGTCATCGCGCAGCGATGGCGTGCGGTATATGGATTCGAGATGTTCGATGGTCGACTTGCGTAGGAACAGATGGTAGACGCGACTCAACTGGTTGAAAGCAATACGAACCAGTAGACGAGCCTGTGCTAGACCGGGCCATTGAGTGGCACCCTCGAGTAAAGATGACTCGGGGGTGTACTGCGTTCGAGCAACATGCGCCGTATTAGGATCCCCCGTTAGGAACTGGCGCAAGCGCGTCGCGAACGCCGTGCATGCTGCATCACCCATGTATATGGGAGGAGCAGAAGGGTCGTATGGGTAGAACCAAGCCCGTTCTCCGAGGAGAGGATTTTGCACCGGCGGGTAGGACTCTTGTGGAATAGACCCCTCGGCAGTAGTGGCAGATGAGCTCTGAGGGGTACTAATGGAGCGTAGCTGTTCTCTTAATTGAGCGTTTTGGGTAAGAAGTTCGTCGAGGTAACTGGTGCATATCAGAATACGATACGGCTAAGCAATGGGTAGATGATGGAGGATGCTTACCTCTCTTGCACCTTGAGCTTGCGATCACGTAGAGTGTATTGGCACTCATCATCACAACCAGCCCGCCGACATCTCGAGCAAGGCTGTCCACCAGAGCATTTTACTTTATGGGCGTGACAACGGTGGCAGCTGCAGGAAGGGAACTAGTTAGCGCACATGCTAAGGAAGAAGCCCGAATGGCAACGCACGCTATAGGCTTCTTATTATCACGCTTGGGTTGTTGCTTAGTGACAGGCATCGGTGAATAATGATTTCAGACTATTGGAATGACCTGCATGCGTTGATGTTGTCGGCAGTCTGATCCTTCGCCGAGAGGTAAGACGAAGTTCGCCTCTCTTATTCTTCCTTCGGCAATTTGGTCACATGCCGAGGTCTAACCTTAGCCAAGTATGACTTCCACTAGTATCAGCCCCGCGGCGCCCATAAGCATAGGACAATAGAGGTGGGTGAAGAGAAGAAAATGGAATTGTTTGTGCTCTTTCTGAGTGATTAATGAAAATATCTGCGATATGTTTATTGATTGCCGATATCATACTATTGTAAGTCTGTTGTAGCTGCTTCGTCCAGTCACGCTGTTGTAATCGGTGCCGTGACGACATGCCGACGGTCCTATGAGTATATAACCGAACTATGTAATTACGCAGAGAGAAGGATCCAGAGCTTCATGGCTTCTCATGAGAAATTACTCCAGCAGCTCACTGTCTAAAAGAAAAGGCATATTATAAAGCATTATATTTTGGTCCTACTCGCAATGCTAATACAAAGACCATATTTGGATGTTCATTTCCAACTGGAGCATGGCTGTGCCGATTTCAGTGTCGGAGATGACATTCAGGGAATGGCTTACATTATCCCACGAAAGAATATGTCTCCACATCAGCTAAGCATTTATCTTGAAGGTATGATTTGAATTCTGTTTAGTTGCAACTCGTAATGATTGTTCGTCAGGTAAGGTCAAAATACAGATTGACAGGACCGAAAACGCGGTGCCACTTCCACCATACACTGCACGTCAGACCTTTCTTCGCATAGAACAGCCACTCGTGCTCAAATCGTCGACAGAATCGGGACTTCTGCAAGGAGGTCTGCGACACGAGATACCATTCGGGTTCACGGTTCCTCCAAGGATAAAAGGTTCGGTGTGCCAGCAATTTTGTCACCATCAGCAGGTCCAGGAAGAGCATTCACTCCTTCCCCCGAGCATAGGGCAAGACGACATGACACCCAGCGAGATATCGGTCGAGTACAACATAAAGCTCAGCTTGACACGGGGTATCAACCGAGACGGGATGCCAGCAGTAGCTGAATGGGCATGTCCATTGTTTATTCGTTCGCCGCGCATAGAATGGGCACCCTTGCTGGTTCCGGAAGACAGCAAGTATTACTGCCTCAGTAAAGAGAAATTCGTATCCAAGTCACCAATGTCTCTCTCTCGAATTGGAGCGCTGTTGGCGCGGACGGCACAGCCAGCTGCTATTCCACAAGCAAAAGCCATGGTCAGATACTTACCAGTCGACTTGCAGTTCCAAGCAATATCCGAACCACATCTGCCACAGTTATCATCAATGTGTGTCTCATTGAATGCCATCACCACTTTCGGCGAAAGGCCAGAGATACATCTTCCAGAGGCTATAGGTTCTTCAGCATGGGATTCTTATCGTCACTCTTATGTGCAAACAGTATCTCTAGGGACTTCAACCCCGAGCCCGTTGGAGTGGGAAAAGTGCCATTTTACCGAGGATCCGGACTCATCCACGGCCAGCATCGCATCAGGGATAATTTACAGTGCCTCAGTAAAGGTGCCAATCAAGCTCCCAGAGATTCTGAGCTTGCCGCCTACGTTCAGTTACTGTCTTGTTTCCCGAATATACTCTTTGACGGTGACTCTCCGATTCCACATACCAGGGCAATGGAGCCGAACGACTGGCCTTACCTTAACAGTTCCACTTCAAATATGCTAGCTTATAGCTAATATTGGACCCACTTCTATTTCTTGGCAAATTAGAGGAGTAGAAAGGAGACATGACGCTGATATAGTACCCAATTAGGAAGTGTGTGAGAAACACCTTTGCTAGACGGCTATATGACGGCTACTTATATATTAGTTGGTAGCTTGAAACAAAAAACCTGCTAAAGTTGGCATCGTGCCCTGGAGAATAACTTTCTGACTTGAATGTAATATGCTTGATATTGTACAAGATATGTGTAGCTAAAAAGGCCAGAAATCCATGGACTGGAGTGTTTCATATATTTGGATGTTCATGTCGCAACAACAGTATTATACTCAAAGTAGCAGCTAAATCGAAAGTTGCCGCCCGGCCCATTACAAACTAGACCACATTAGGACTAGCCACAAATCATGTGATATGCAACTTGCAGCCATAATGTGATTAGGTAATCACTTCTAATCCATTCTCTGGACTCGAAGGAAATAGGCGTAGAATTGTAAATGCGAGTATTGGGGTAAAGGAGAGCTCTCCATGATCGAAGGATGAGTGAATCAGTACGGGTAAAAGAGGCATTTGCTGCCGTGAGCGTGTTTCTCGAATCTGTTCTTCAACGAGGTATGCACTGCTCGATCCCAGAGCCGTCTGAATGTCAAAGCTAACCGAGAATTTAGATAGCGTTCAGAGCCAAAAGGTGCGGGGGCAGTCTCTAGTAGAGATTCTGAACGAGACACTCCGTGACGATGAGAAAGGCACTGGGTCTATGAGGAGGGATGTCATCTTCAAAGCCTTGAGCTTACTGTCTCTCATCCATACTGCTTTCGTCACTCCCTCCAGTGATGGTGATCGGCCCAGCCAGACCGGCCAGGAAACAGAAGATGTTGCCCTGGAAGATGCAAAAAGACGCAGGTTACTTCTCGCTCTATTGGATCTGATTGCTGTGGAAGGCATATACCCGTCACTTTCGAGAGGCTTTGGCCTGCCTCTACACCAAAGGGTGTTCTCGGCTCTGCCTGCTGGGGTTATTGCTCAACAACAACATCATGCTCAGGAGAGTCCCGAAGACGAATATCTCCTCGAAAGAATATGGGTCACTCTTTCGAACATCATATTCGATTCAAAAATGAGCGTTCAAGATGTCATCCGTGGCCGAATCCTTAGCGACATGATCAGTGCAGCTGCAGACCTGGCTTATAACTCAAAGAGCCTCTCCGACGATAAGAAGGCTATCTACCGTCAGGAGGTGGGAAGACTGATTGAGGAGTATGTTTTTTATAAACGTCATAGCCACAGCTACTGACTTGCTGCAGAACTCCCAGCCCTGTGTTGCTACCTACATTGTCCAGTTTCCTGCAGTCGGATCCTGCTCCGTGGTTCAAATCTCTGGTTTCTAGCGAGTTGTCACGAATTCCATTACGCCCCGGTGGTGTACTTCAAACTATGGTCTTTCTGGCCTCTCAGTTTGCCCCGTCTCTGGGAGCCGAAGCTCAGGCCCAGGCATCGAATGGCCCAATTTTCACAGTGCAGGGTATAATGCAAACGTCCCGCCTGCTGTCTTCAGTTCCAGAAGGAATGGACCCGGTCAAGTACTTTTCCACAATAGCACCGCAGCTACTGGAGTTGCTTGACGGGGATGACCCCGACCTCATGAAGACAGCAGCATACGTTATTGGAAACGGTATCTTGGGTAAAAGAGCCTATGGCGCTCCTGGGACCGTCGGGCACTCCGTATTCTTAGAGCCTATCTTCAAAGCGCTTACTGCGGGGCTTGATGCTTTCTCAAAGAAATGGATAGCTGCCGCTGATGAGTTTGACCGTGGATCATCCGAGCAGATTCAAGTTGCCGAGCCGACGATAGTATTAGCAGTCGACAGATTGCGAACCCTAGTCCTCCAACCTCCGAATCCGGGTCTCGTGAAGCGAGTCGTCCACCCTATTCTAGTTCCACTTTGGGGCCTAGCTTGCTATACAATGGAACATCAAAATATGGCACTGCATGAGAAAATCATGACTATCCTGCAGACATATTTCGGAATATCAGTTGGACTTCAACCATTACAGAAACTCGTCGACAACCTACTTTATGATGGCGGGGCAACGTGGACTTATGATTCAGACTCGAAGAACAGAGTTTTACTGCGGAAGCGCAACACGTCAGAAACGAATCGCAACATTGTCCGCCTCGTCGACATATTGCAGTCTCGCACGAAACTCTTCGTCAGCTTATTGGGCGCAGACCCCAGTAGCGAAGAACGGACAGCTGACATCTTCCTCTACGTCAGTGAGAGCTGGCTGGTAAAGCCTACCTTGGATGAGCGTTCGATGGATAGATTGCGACTATCCCCTGAGGAAGACAACTTCAAGAACATCATGCAGCAGTTGATCAGTGCCAAAGTAGCGGAAACGCTACTCGACAATTTCAAAGACGTCCTTTCCCGTCGACCTCTACGTGTGCTCGAACTCATCAAGCAGATAATCGACAGTGAATTGAACCGAGCATACGTTCGGAGCAAGAAGACTATGGGAACACGATCTGGCAAGGTATCCCTATCATCACTGGCCAACATCGTGGAGCCAGACGACACTGGAAAGGAAGAAGCAGCAGCAGACACAGACTCCGCCGAATCACTACCAGCCGTATTCAGCCTTCTATCTACTGTCCTCGCCTCACCCGACTTCACCATCTCAGCCGAGACCCTCCCAGTGCTCGAAGCCATCAAGTCAAAGCTCGACGATCTAACGCCCCATCTCCCATCCGACCTCTCCAAACCAGCAACCACATCATCAATGCTCATCGAGATCCACCTCGCCAACCGCGAAGGCGAAACCCTTACGACAAACAAACCAACCATCGAAATAGCCGACTTCGAAACCCACCGTCGCGCACTATCCAACCTAAACTCCGACCTCGCCCCCATCCAAGCAGAAGGCTTTTCCCTCCTGTCAAACCTCATCACCAAAGCCTCTCCAGTCCTCGACATCCCCTCCACCCTGACTCTCCTCCTCTCCATCATAACCGACACCTCCGAAACCCACAGTGCCGACGAATTCATCTATCTAAACGCCATCAAACTCATCGGCACCCTCGCATCACGACACCCACGCACCGTCATCAAAACCCTGGTAGACCGCTACATCGACAAAACCGAGACCCACACACTCGACCAAAGACTCAAAATCGGCGAATCCCTCCTGCGCACCGTCCAGGACCTCAACGGCGCCCTAACAGGCGAAACAGCCAAACTCCTCGCCGAAGGCATGATTGCCGTCGCCGGCCGACGCGCCCAGAAACCCCAAGCCCAAAAGAGACGCAGACAGCAACTAGAGAAAGAGAAACGGCAAGCAGAACGCGAAGAAGCCCGCAAGAAAAAAGAATCGTCCATGCCCCCAGGATGGAGCATCTCCACATCTTCATCCAAAATCCAAGAACTATCAGACCAAATACAGAAGGAAGTCGACGCCTCGGACTCCGAAGAAGACGAAGAGCAAGCCGCCCACTCCGCGAACATCATCTCCGCCTGGGCAGCAGGCGCAGCATCAGACTCCGAACCAGAGGATCTGCGCGTCCGCGCATCCGCATTATCCATCCTAGCCAGCGCCATTCAAACGAATATCCTCGGCCTCGGACCCTCGGTTATCTCCTCCGCCGTGGAATTAGCTCTCGCGACACTGACACTGGAACCGGAGGTCGAGTCCGCTATCCTGCGACGCGCGAGCGCTATTCTCCTTCTTGATATCCTGAAAGCTATGGATACCGTTCGCGAGAATCGTGGAAGTCAAGCTCTGGGCTTCGGGTTCTCGCTTTCGGATGCGAAGGGTGTTGGAATGGAGGGGGGAGCAGCGACGGTAGGGAATATTCCGCACATGTTGTCTTCGCTGAGGTTCGTGGAGAGTCGCGAGACGGATTCGATTGTGAGGGGTCATGTAAGGGTGTTGGTCGAGAGTTTGGAGCCTTGGTTGGAGAAGTCGCTGTTGTGGGGGATTGGGGCGAGAGGGGAGGATGAGGAGCCAAGGTTGGAATTGGGGGATCGGATTGCTGGGTTGAGAGTTAGTCCGCTTTCTGGTAGGGGTGAGGTTTCGAGGCCGAGGATTGAGGAGATTGAGTAGTAGGTGGTGTGTTGGTGGTTACTGAGATTAGTTACGATTTATTCAGTCTTTGCTTTACTGTCTACTACTGCGCGAAGGTTATGCTTGATGCTTTGGATTTTCATTTCCATTATCTGTACTGTGATCCAGTAGGAAAATAGCTATTTCGTGAACGCGTCAAATGTACTGAGTAACTCCGAGGTCACCGTGATTTCAAGGCATAAATGACAGAAAATGAGGATCGACTTTCTTGAAGCCATTCTCTGTGAGAGACATTAATGAGATGGGTAGAGCTGGTCCCCGGTTTCCATTAGGATGTCAGATAGAAGAGATTAGAAGTGTAGCTTGCGGCGAGAAATGAAATGAAGACAAATTCGATAGATAGCATCGTAGCATAGCTGTTTCGATGAAAGAAATATGAGAAGAGGCAAGTGCCCAGCACTCCCTCATCCGCTGTACTTTCTTTGCGCCGTGAAGCATTGCCGCAACGCAGCTGAAGAGCAACCGTGTCACAGATGGAGCCAGCCTTTGGTAAGTGAAGTGCAACCTGGGGAAATATAGAATTAGTAACGGTTGCCGCGTCCGCGACCTCCACGTCCGCGACCCCGTCCGGAGCCAAAGCCGCCTCGACGAGGCCCACGGCCCATACCACCTCTGTTACTACTAGGACGGGGCCCTCTGGCCATTCTAGCTTGGCGTTCGGCGTCGCTCATGTCAAATTTGTTTTCGATGCCGATCAACTCGCAGAACTCCGCGGTCTGAGGATTGGTGTACTCAATCGGCATCTCCTCAGTTGTCAGAGGTACACTGGGATCGTAGATGGGCGCGGTTTGAGTGAAGTTCTCAGGGACGACAAGCTTTCCAGGCTTCACGACATTCTCCTCGATCCACTTCTCTTCTTCGAGGATCTGGGGCAGGTACACGACGTCGCCCTTATCCGCAGAGGGTCTGGCGTTGGGATCCCCAAGGTGGAGGTCGTTGGCGAACGCACGTGTGATTGCGAGCCATTCTTTGTCGTACTCCAAACGATATGGGCGTTCAACCTTCGCTCCATCCGATTCCGAAATAGGATTTATCTCCAAGAGCTGGAGAAATTCGCGGTTAGGAAGACATTTGTCTAACGCAAGGAAATTGGTCACGTTGTTTGCAATGGCTTCGGGCAAAGGGCCGTTGACCGGATAGGGATCAGGCTGGGGCCGTGAAAAACTGGCAGGCAGCTGGTTCCTGACATCCTGTGAGACATCAGTCGCTTTAGCTGGCTCTGCTTGAGAGGTGATATTGTTTCGTTCCAACAAAGTCGGAGTGGACGTCATTGCGGGAGAGCCACTATTGCCTGAAACTGCCGTTTCAGGCTGTGCCTTACTCGAGGCATCGTCGGACTCGCTGTCTAGATCTAAGTCGATCTCGTCACTATTCTTCACAACATCCGATCCATGATCAACCTTCTGTTTCTTGTGGTTCTGCTGTTCGGGACTGACATCCCTCTCGACGCTTGCAATTTTCCGGTTTGCGCCGTCCATATCGGTCTCCACCCTTTTCCAGGTCAGGTTGTGCTTGAGTTCATAGGGGTTCGGCCCAGGATTCTGTGCCTTGCCCGACAAATAAAGCTCGTTCTCAGCCGCTTCGTTTCGGGCGGCAACGACGTGGAAGTTGTTCCACGCTGACAATTTAGTCTCCATGCTGCTAGCTGCTTCTCCAGCCGATACGTCGGTTTTGGATGGCTGATGAGCAGGTGGTCCACTCTCTGACTGCAACTGAGAAGCTCCGGTGTTTGCAGCGTTGCTCTGACTCTGCTTATCAGAGTCGGCAGTAGAAGCGGAGGCCACAGGCTCATTCAATGGGTTCTGGCTCTCTTCACCGAGGACCAACGAAGTGAATACCGCACCATCCAGCGCAAATGGAGCGCTTGAACGCTGACCGGCATCAGTTGCACCGGAAGCAGCCTGTCTCTTGGCCGCTGGATGCTCAGGAACGACATACTGAGCGTGCTGCACTCGGGCCGCGAACTTTACGTGTAAGTGGGCCGAAAACCAATAGGCTGGGCGCAGCCGATCAAGAACATGCTTGGCAGCCATATTACCAAGTCGGCCATTTTGAGAATCCTCGCGGAACCCATTCTTTTTGTTGAATAAGGTTTCAAAGTCTCCGCTACGCTCGACCGTCTTAGGCCAGTCGTGGGATAATCCCAGATCAACCTGTGTGCGGATTTGCAGCAATTTGCGAACATCGAGTTCCCTCACGTGGTAGATGCTTTGAACGTCATCGCTGTTGTACGGCAGTCGTTCAAAATGAGGTTTCCGGTAGTCGTATCCCTTCCAGATGCCAGACATGCCGGCGATGCGAAGAGGCCCACACCGGATAACGTTGGCTGCACCGAGGTAGTAGATATTGGGGGCTACCCACCCGCCGTAATACAGCTCAAACAGGTGATTGCTCGCCTCGTGGTTCCCTCCCACAAAAATGGTCAGGTATGGAGCAACACGCTGCCCACTGTAGTATTCATGAAAGTCACCCAACTCTCTGTACTTCATCGGCACTGACATGCAGGCCAGATCATTGGCATTTCTGACAGCCTAGTTTGAGGTTAGCAGGAGAGACAGGTGAGTTGACAGGGGCAGAAACAGTCTAACCTGGAAATCGCCGCCAATGATCAATAAATCGACACCATCCCACCCTTTTAGGGAGGCAGCCTTATCGACTGACGCATAGATATCATGAAGACATCCGTGGCCCTGGAGACGTATCGGTGGTCAGCAAGATAAAAAGTACAGGGTAGAAGATGAGAGGTTGACTTACACATCCTTCAAACGCGACTCGAAGCGAGGCCGAGTCTGAAGTTGGCATCTCCATGATTCTGGGAAATGCTGCGAAATCTGAGCTAATAGGGACCGATCCGGCGACGAAGTATGAGCTGCTCGCAAACTTTGAGACGCAGAAGATACAAAGGACGATAAGGAACAACGTAGGAGACCTCCTATGCAAGAGTGAGGATTACTGGACGCAGAATATTAGATTCTGAGAGAGAGAGAATAGAAAGATGATAGAGGTGAAGAAATGAGAAGAGAGGAACTGGGGGAGAAGAGAAAGATGAAAAGTAGAAGCAGAGTAACACCGGGAAGATGTGAGTTGATCGTGCGGCGGGAGAGTGTTTGGTTGCTTTGCTGCCGAACAGCCCTTTTTTTTCTCCTTCTCGGCATCAATTCATTTTCATGCTCCCCCGCCAGGTTTTGAGCAGGTTCGGTCTTCAAATATCTTCACAACCGATCTAGATACTTGAGATTGCCATCACTCAAACATGCCCCTTAGTGATCATGCGCCCCGGTTGGAGTTCCTCAAGGGCACCGCCAGCGCTCTCAATGCTCTCAGTCCATCAACAGCGGCCTACTTGATGACCGTTCACAACGGCATTCTCCGTGATGAATTCAAGCCATTAAATCAGCGGCTCCAAGAGACATCTTGCGGTGCATGTGGCAGTGTCAGGAGCCCGCAGTGGACCAAGAATATCGTCATCCAGAAGAAAAAAGGCAAGCAGTCGAACGCAGGCAGAGCGAACAAGGCAAGCTCTGATGGAGCTACAATCTTAAAATGTCTCCGTTGCCGGCGACGGACCATCAAGCCAGTGCGCAAGGATGCAGCTCGTCCTGCACTACCACCAAAAGTTACTTCTACAGCGGCATCTACGCCTGACATTCAATCACCTACAGCTACAACGCCCCAGTCCGAACCGGCCACCGAATCAGCGGATTCCAGCCGGGTGAATAAAGCGGCCGACAATGCCAACAGCAAAAAGCGGGCCAAGGCTCGCAAGCAAGGTGGACTGCAGGCCTTGATGGCATCCAAGCAACAATCCCGCAGCAATTCATCCTCACTTGATCTCTTTGACTTCCTTCAGTAGTGAAGACGACTGCAAAATATCCAATTCCCTGCTGCTTTTGCTTTCACTGTCACGCAGTGCCAAGACCGGAGTCTCGGCAGTTTCCTCCGAGATGGATTGGGCCTAGCGCGGGGTCACGCTATCGGAGCTTCCAAAGAGCTGCGGCTGTTGATGTGGAGCTCGCTCGATTATCCCCCAAAGCATCCTCTGCTGCTGCTGCTGCTCTTGTTGTTGTTGCTGTTGCTACTGCTGCTTGGCTTGCGCTCTGATTGCATTTAGTTTACTGCTAACTTCTTACCCCTTCGACACAATGTCGTCTTACGATGACGAGCACGATCCTCAGGCGGACGAACTCCGAGAAACCGCCCTGGTCACCCTGGAGACGTTGATCAGCTCTTGCAACTCTCAGATGCAGCCATACATGTCCAATACCATTAACTCAGCCCTTCGATTTCTCAAATACGATCCCAACGTTGCCGAAGCCGAAGACGATGAAGAAATGGGCGGCACTCAGGATGATGGCTCTGAAGATGACGTAACGGAGGAGCCCGATCTGGACGACGACGACGAGTTCGAGGACTTCGAGGAAGAAGGAGGCTACAGTGATATTGACGATATGAGCTGGAAGGTCCGCCGTTGTGCAGCGAAATTGCTCTATTCCGTCATTTCGAGTTACACCCGCGGCCGTACTGCAGACGATGCGTCCTTGTTTCAGCAAATCTCCCCTGCTCTTATCGCCCGGTTCAACAAAGAAAGGGAAGAAAGTGTCAAGCTCGAAGTCGTGTCTACCATGACTGCGCTCGTTCGGAAAACAGGTGAAGGCGCCATGATAATCACGTCCAACGGGTTCCTTGAGTCAGTCGGGGGTTCGAAGAATTCGCGGAAGAGGAGACGCCAGGATAGTGATGCTAGTATGATCGACTTCGAGCCCAGCATTGGCACCTCCTCTGCTGTCAGTACCCCCGTTGTTGCTCCTTCCTCGCCCAAATCTGGTCCACAGGCGGAGCTGGCTCGCTCAGTGCCGACCATCGTGCAGAGTGTGGTCAAGATGTGGAAGCAAGCTTCCGTACCTCTGAAGCAGGCTATTATCGTGCTGCTCAAGAGCCTTGCACTTGTTCGCTACGGTGGTCTTGCGGATCATCTCCAACAGCTTGAAGACCCCATAGCGGATGTCTTGAAGTCCTCTTCTCTCTCGGGCGGTTCAGCTGCACCCGTCGGGTCTTCGGCGAGTGCAGGCACCCTCCAGACCGAAACCCTGGGACTCATTGCCGCGATTGCTGAAACGCATACGTCTGATGCACTGTTGCCCTTCCTTATCGCGTTGATTCCCGGCGTCATTGGGGCTGTCAATGACAGAAACTACAAGGTCAGCAGCGAAGCGTTGGGAGCCGTCGAACAAATCGTGAAGGCGCTTACGCCGCCGCGGGTCCCCAACGCCTCTCAGGACCTTGCATCGCACCTAGAGAGACTGTATGACGTCGTGCATACGCGCATCACTGATACGAGTGCCGACCTCGAAGTTCGCCAGAGAGCTATCCACGTGTTCGGCGTGCTGTTGGCTCGGACAGCTGGGGAGAAGGGTTCTTCTTTCCTTCCGCTCGATCAACGCTCTAAAGGTCTTTCTGTCTTAGTGGAGCGACTGAAGAATGAGACCACGCGGCTCGCAGCTGTCCGCGCCGTTGACGATGTAGCCGTCCTTTGCACTCGTGAGGTGGATGTCACACCAACATGGGTTAGTGAAGTCACTGCAGAGCTTGGTGCACAGCTGCGCAAGTCAGACCGGGTTCTTCGAGGTGCCAGCTTGGAGGCTCTTCGCAGCCTGGCTATGAACCCCAACACTAGAACTCATTACGATGATAAGACCATGAAAGAGCTGGAAGATAGTCTTCTCCCGCTCATCAGCGCAGAAGATTTCCATTTCCTCGCACCATCACTCATCATCCTGGCCAAGCTCGTTCCAGGAAATGCTCAGCTTCTTGTGAACGAGAGCTTGATCTCTGCGCTGTGTTCTGTTGTTCTCTCGTCACTCGTTGGAACGGTGCTGAAAGCCCTGCTCCTATTAGTCAAGGTCATTGGAGAAGAGGGAGCTGGTGCAGCATTGATGAAGAAGCTTCTCCAGGATGTCGGCATCAGCGGCGACACGTCAGTTGTCGGTAGAGCGATTGGAACTCTCTTGGTACACGGTGGTCCTAAGCTGGGTGTCAAGATGGAAGATTTCAAGACGGAGCTGGAGACTGCGCAGGATGCTCAACGTAAATGCCTTGCGCTCGCGATCCTGGGAGAGATCGGCCTACGAATGGGCTCCAGCTGTTCGCTGACCCCTGAACTCTTCATCACCCATTTCAACTCCAAGTCCGACAAGGTCCGACTGGCTGCAGCCACAGCTCTGGGCAACGCAGCAGCAGGTAACGTCAAATCTTACTTGCCTATCATCCTGGGTGGGCTTGAGAAGGGCAACCCGCAGAGTTACCTGCTCCTCCACTCCGTGAGGGAATTGCTCCAGCACCCCGAGATTGTTCGGCCGGATGTAGCTCCCTCAGCTGTCAAGCTCTGGCAAGCCCTTCTGGTCGTGTCAGAGGAGGAAGACAATCGAGCCGTTGGTGCCGAATGTGTAGGCCGGCTCGCCCTGATCGATCCAGTCGCTTACATTCCTCATTTCCAGGTGAGTCCAACCGCCAGCAGTATGTAAATAGTCGCAACACGTGCAGCTAACACAATGTAGGATTATCTCTCCAGCAGTGACCCGAGTATCCGCAGCGTCGTCATCTCCGCATTCCGCTACACCCTCTCAGATCCCAGAGACACGTACAACGATGTGCTGAGGCCCGTGATCGTACCCCTGCTGGTCAACATGCTGAGCGACCGCGACCTTGGCAATCACCGTCTTGCCCTGACGACCTTGAACTCAGCCATCCACAACAAGATGGAAATCCTTCTCCCTCACCTCAACGAACTCCTCCCGGCCGTCTTCGGCGACACCAAGGTGAAGCCAGAACTCATCCGCGAAGTGCAAATGGGACCGTTCAAGCACCGCGTCGACGACGGTCTCGAGCTCCGCAAGGTCAGTACACCTAACGCCCTTCCTCCCACCCCACACGATCAAAGACTAACCCAACCTCCAGAGCGCCTACGAAACCCTCTACGCCTCACTCGACTCGGCATTCTCCCTCAGCCACATGAGCGAATTCTTCGACCGCATCCTCTCCGGCATCGACGACGAACAAGACATCCGCACAATCTGCAACCTAATGACCTCCAAGTTGATCCATCTCGCCCCCGAAGAGACGCAGCGCCATCTCGACGCACTCTCAGAACGCTACAACGCCATCCTCTCCTCCAAACCGAAGGAAAATGCCGTGAAGCAAGAACTCGAGAAAGCGCAGGAGGCATCATTGGGCGTACTGAAGATCAGTCGCGAGCTGAGCAAGGCGTTCCCGAATGCCGAGGTGGCGGGTGATCATCACAAATGGAAGGCTTATATGGAGTTGATTCGGAAGACGTATGGTGCGCAGCTTAAGACTTTGGAGGCGGATGCTTAGGTTCTATGCTTGAATGGAAGGAAGTATGTCTTCTTACTCTTCTAGCTAGCCATCTGTGACTTCGGTTGGCGGTCGATTAGACGGTCTATTTATCTATTTAGCCTATTACACATGGATGGAAGGGGAGGAGCGTGAGCTCGAAAAGCGAATGCATCATGTTGTCGAATGGTAGTTATTGACGTGAATGAATGACGATCGATGATTCATGCCTTCAGTTTAGTGCATTGGCCTTAGGTAGTTACTGTACTAAAGCTAGGATGAAACTTAGAAAGAAAAGAACAGCATCAATGCATTATGACGATGAATGTGCACTGGATATGATATGGGGGGAATAGTCCGCTTGAAGTAGAATACAGAAACAGTAGTGTGATGAGTTTCCAGAACTCCTGGTATGCAGCCAGCCCCCTTCACGTAGCCGTTAAAACGCCAATCAACAAACAGCCAACCAACCATTCGCTATGTAGAAGCAAGAAACAAGAAAAAAAGACCAAAGGAAGCAAGACAGTATTCCAACCCAATGATATCAAAACTCCGTGCAGCTGCACCCCAGGATATCATGAATCATGCAATGCTAAATAAAAACAGGCTATTTATGCAGTGATGGCTTTTTTCTTGAGCACACCGAGCTTTTCGAGCTTTGCCCAGGCCCGGTCCATGTCGGAGCCTTCGTCAACAGAAGGTCTCAGCTCCAAGCCGTCCAGAAGGCGAATTGAACCCCCGGTTCCGGCATATAGCATAAGCTCGAAGACTCGTCTACGGAGTCGCGTTGGCTCATCCAAGTGGGATAAGTATCTTTGATCAGCCAAAGGATCGGCGAGCGGAAGAGTGTAGGGATCATCGATCTCAATTTCCTTGGCAGGGTTTGGCAATTCTTCCTCGCCTAGAGTAGCTGGATGCGTGACGTCTCCACTGTGTCCAAGTTCAGCCAGGGCAGAGGGAAGGTCCAAGCCATCATGGCGTCGTTGGCCAAGCTCCTCTTTCGCCTTCAGCTTTTTCACGTTCGCTTTGCCGTTGCCAATAACAGCAGGGGGATAGAAACGGACGGTGAGGGGGTTGCCACGGATGTCGACCTTCTGCAGAGAGCAGGCCCTTCCTTTACTTGTCCTTCCAATATGGCTCAATACTTGACAAAGACGCCGTAGTCGTGTGATGTTGTTTCCTGCAGCTGCTAACCGAGCAAGGCACTTCAAGCCCGATAGTTCATTGAGACCTGTCAGGGAGTTGAAGTTGAGATTGAGGACCACCACATTGGGAAAGCTCGAAGCAAAATCCACAGGAAGCCCCTGAATGCTGCAGGAGGCTATGTCCAGTAGCTGCAAGCTTAGAAGGGGCGAGGAAGGCGAAAGGCTCTGCATAGAAAGTCTGTTTGACGAAAGGAACGCCTTCCGAAGATCTTTCACCAGACCCAAATCGATGTCAAAAATGCCACCATCGACGTCTCCATTCATTTGTTCTCTAGCAGAGAGGACCTCCAATGAATGGCATTTATCGAGACCAGAGACACTGCGCAAGAAATTTTGGTCCACATAAAGCAGGTGTAGGGATGGGAAAGCCCCGACGTCGAGTGTGCGCAGGATGTTATTGGAGAGCTTCAACGATTGAAGACTAGGTAAAGAGGCTGTGGTTT